GAGCATCCTTAGAGCGCTGTTTGCCAACAACTCTTCCACCTTCTCTCGTAGTATCTCGCATTCTTGTGGACTCATGCGGTAATGGGGCAGGTTCGGCAAGCTTGCACCGGGCACTAAGTCAATCTGGTGTTGGATGTCCCTCATAGGTGGCAGCGAATTTGGCAAGTCATCGGCTACCAATTCGCCGAACTCCTTCAATAAAGGTTGGACACTTTCCGGTACTACCACCGTCGATTTCGAACTCGCCTCTTCTTTCGGAATTCCCAACGATTTTACTAAGGTGGCGTATATCTCGGTCGCTGTTTCAACACCTTCCATAAACTCACCTTCAGTTTGGGCCACTACAAAAACGGGGTCCTTCCCGACTTCCCGGGCCGAAGGAGTCGCTGTCTCTGTCCTAGGTAGCATGATCGTTTTTCGGCCTCCCCATTCAAACTTGCAGGAGTTTTCTCGCCCGTCGTACACCATATTTACGTCAAATTGCCAAGGACGCCCCAATAAAATGTGACTTGCGTCCATGTCAACGACATCGCATACCACTTCGCTGACATAATTCTTTGCGATCGAGAGGGGTACATGGCAGACTTCTGTTACTTTGACCGTGGGCCCTTTCTGAATCCACCCTATCGTATAAGGAAACGGGTGTTTTTCTACGGGCAATTTCAGATGCTCCACTAGTCTCCTTGCTACGAAATTCTCACAACTCCCATTGTCCACAATCAAATTGCATACCTTCTTATTAATCGAGCATTGGGAACGAAAGATACTATTTCGTTGGTTTAGTTGCCTTGCCGAACAAAGAACACGTTGCACTACGCAATTAACCTGTTCACCTTTCTCGTGACTATGATACTCGGTCTCCTCGTCCTCTTCACTTTTGTCAATTTCATAACCCTCGTGCTCACTATCGTCTCTCTTTTCTGGATCATCCACTAGATTCAATGCTCTTCGCTCTGGACACTCGTTAGATCGATGCCCAGGTTTGTGACACCTATAACAACTGTCAGGAAAAGGCCTCGCATAAGGATTATTATTTGTTCGCTGCTGGAAGTTGGTGTTCGAACCACTAGCACCGCCTCTCGCATAGGATTGCGTTCGTGGGGCTGTTGTCGTCTGTACCGGATTCTGATTTACGGCTTTTCCTCTATCGCTCTGAGGTGGGGTATAAGTTACCGCTCTCCTAAAATTATTCGCGTTACTTCTTTTCTCAAAATCCTCAGCTCTCAACGCCATACTCTGAGCGTTATCAACGTTATATACCGGCTGTAATCCTATTCGATCTCGAATATTACTTCTCAACCCATTCAAATAACGAGCTACTTGTTGATTCTCAGTTTCCCTTAAATTATTCCTTTCTGACAGACGCATAAATTCAGCCGTGTATTCATGCACTGATCTACTACCCTGTGAACAATTATGATATAAATTGTACAGATGTTGTTCGTAGTCAGACGGTAAAAATCGATCGTGCATCAACCCTTTCATCCGCCTCCAAGATAGTACAGGACCTTTCCCTTGCCGAGTTCGTGATCGTTGAAGTTGGTCCCACCAAACAGCCGCCCCGCCTTTCAACCTATATGCGACCATCTTAACCATTCTTTCTGGGGGTGTCTCCATCACGTCGAACGCTCGCTCCACGTCGGAAATCCAATCCAAGAAGTCCTCGATGGAAAGATTCCCGTGGAAAAGGGGAATCTCAGCTTTTATCCGGCAATGATCATCTTGTCTCTGTCTGGGATGGTTTCCATCTACTATCGCCAAATTGTCTTCACCCGACCCGTCATCACTTTCTTGTTGAAGATGATGGTGGTTTTGATTCCCAACTCGTGCACCTCGGGCCAAGTTCCCAGCGCGCGCCATGTTAGGTTCGCCCCTTCTGTTGTTGCCGTTGAGGGTGAGTCCCTCTAGTATCGCCCGAAGTTGCCGCAGCTCCTCACGAAACTCCACTCGCAATCCTTCTGTAGCTTGTTCGATCGCTGCATAAACTTCACCAACCTTGCGGTCATCGCCATCGCGGTTGTCGTCTCCATGTTGCACGCCTTTCGCCATCTAACCAGGGAAAAACCTCGCTACTGATGCCAACTGACGCAGAACGGAAGCACGGTAAAGAATTAATTTCTATGAATTAATCCTATAGAACACGATAAGATTCGGAATCCACCGAAAATAAAGAGAACTCTAAAAGTTTTTATTAAAATTCGAAATTTGATGCCCCAAAATAAATCCCTAAGACACCTATTTATACTAATCAACTAGAAATCCTAATTAAGCTAGGAAAATACTAAAACTATAATTCTAATTAATCTAGGAAAATACTAAAACTAAAAAAAATAGGAAAATAAAACAACTCCTAATCCTAATAGAACTCTTAAATTCAAAATACTAAAACTAAAAAAAATAGGAAAATAAAACAACTCCTAATCCTAATAGAACTCTTAAATTCCTTGTTCTCCATCAATTTCTTACATTCTCAAGTTTTTTAATTTCTTACATCTATCCCTTGAAAATGGTGTCAATGTAACCGGATGTAATTACGAAAAAAGTGATGGATTTTTCATAAATAAACCTTATTTTAGGGGACAATTGTAATTTACCCTATATTATTACAAGTCTGGTAACATATTGATTTCACATTTCCCATGTTGCCATTAATTGTTCAAGCAATTGCGTCTGTTTAAGAATAACGAAAGTCATACACGTGGCAAATACAATATTGCATTGTCAAAAACGTGTCATTGTTCAAATTTTGTTTACCAGAAGTTGTCTTTTTTCTTTTGTTTTATTGTTTTTAATACTGCCCATGTTTTTCTGGTGTGGAGTTAATTACGCCAACAAACTGCAAGTTGACATTGTTTTAGCTGGTGAATTGCAGTTTGCACCCTAAAAATACATGGATTGGCACTTTGCACCTTTAAATTTTTAAATTGGTAAATTGCACCCTCAAAAGTAAAATTGCATATCTCATGGCCAAATGCTCCCCGCACCTCTCTTGTGATATTTTAACCAAAAGATTAATATATCGCCATATGCTAGCATATAAGTACATTCTTTTTTGGTGGTGTTGTTTGTAATTTATATTTTTAAATTATTATTTAATTATATTATAAATGAAACACAAAGGAAGAAAATTGATTTATTTTTTGTTAGTTTTTTTTTTTTTTATCAAAACTGAAATTATATATGAGATAAAACAATTTTTTTTTTATTTGATATAGTTTTTTTTAAGTAATGCAAAAGGTTGTAATTTAGGCTCCAAAGAGCATCTACATTGTTAACATTAGTATTTATATTACATAATTTATGTGTTTTATTATATTTTTTTAAATCTAAATCATCGATTAATTGTCTACTTACATTCTAAACTCACGTTTTATGTTGTTTTAATATTGTTTGTATAAATAAGTTTTTCTTTGTCCTAATTGAATTCTCCTAACTTTTGTTAAAAATACTGTAACTTTCAAATTTTAAAATATCAAGAAACATTCATATTTTGGTTAAGGTTCCTTGGACCCTACACCCGATGATAAACACCGGGTCGGTCTTCTGCTGCCACGTGTTCCTTTTTTTATTTTTCTAAAATCTCTAAAGATAAACCCTAGCGGGGAATCTATTATAAAATACAAGAAAAGAGACACGTGGCAGAAGACCCACCCGGTGTTTATCACCGGGTGTAGGGTCGAACAAATCTTTGGTTAAACTGTCATAAGAAACAGTTGTAGGGTGCATTTTGCCAATTTCAAAATTTAATGGTGCAAAACGCCAATCCGTGCCATTTTTGGGGTGCAAAACGCAATTCACCCTTGTTGAAGCTTATATATTTAAGATTGATA